CCCCCAAAACCTGTTGTGAGGTACTTGGAGTCGACTCCCCCTCATTAAGATGCTCCCCCTCACTCAGATGCACAGTAGTTGACCTCACTCAGTCAACTGAGCCACATCCTGCAAGTTAGTATTCTATTTGACTTTTGCTCAATCAGTCGACTACATCCTGCATCCTATAAAGCTAGTATATTCTACTTTCTCCCCCTTTGGCATCAATCAAAAAGAGGGATAAGTAAGGTTAACTACTAGCATATAAGATTAGCAGACAATATGCTTAATTACAGTCATCCACAGAGTATCCAAAAATACATGCAAAAGAAAATTATTCAGAGAGACCAAAAGAAATTGTCTAAATAGCCAACACAGATCAAATAGCAACTCATGCCCCTTAGAAAGACAACTTGTAGGCCCCTATTTGAAAATACCCCAGTTTTCTTAGGGGTCTTTTTGTTCCCAATTGAACATTGTAGGGGTCTTTTGGTTCCCATATTTGAAAAAATAAAACAATGCAGGGACTATTAATATTTCCCTTGGACCATCGTTCACTTTCTTAACGAATTAATAGGAAGCTAAACCTGCGTTGAAACAATACTTCCCTTTTTCCCTAAGTTTTTGTATTGGTAATATGATTACTAATTGAAAGTCTATTATGTCGCTGATTAATAATGAAGGGATTGATATACATTAATTACTTATTTTCATGGAATTTTATCTTTAAATAAGCTTAATACTGATATAACTAATATTTCTTATACCACATTATATCCTGCATGAGATTTAAACATAAATATTTTTCATAACTTAATGCGAGTATTATTTAATATCACCAATCAAACGTTGTTTAAAATATATGAATTATCTATTTCTTCTGTGGCTAATTAAATGTTGCATTAGATATGAGACGATTAGTTTTTCTTATATATGAACCAAATATTGCATTATTACATATAGAATTTTATGATGAGGTTAATTATGCCAATACAACAAATCAGAAGATTCTTAATAGCCCAAAAATATTTATTACACTATGAATGCAAAATAATTTAAACCGGTTTTTCTTATGTCAAATCACTCCGGGCTGTTCATGCAATTTGGAAAGAACGGGGAGGAGGTATAAAGACGATTCACAGTTTTTCTATTAACCTTTTCTAGTATTATGGCAACTCAAGGCTGTGAAATTTATTCCTAGATAAAAGTCAAGTTGATATTTATTTAACACGCGTGCCTAGGGGCATAGTTTGGACAAACCCGAAATCCAAATCGAAATTCGAATTTTTTAGATTTTTGGTTTGGATTTTCGGGTTACGGATTGAATTTTGGATTTAATTTTTTGGATTTTGGATTTGGTACTTCGAATTATTGGATATCCAAAAATCCAAAATTTTTACACTTTATATTTAGTTTATTTTCCATATGTCAATAGTAATAAGTTCAATACCCTACCCATTAAATATTATCTCATATATTCAATATTAATTACTAAGTTACTTTGAGAATACTTTCTATTTGAGCATGATTTTATAATTTTTACTTCTTATAGGCCGTATTAATATATCTATTGTATTTTTTTATAATAATTTCATTACCGGAATACTTCATTTGGATGATTGCGGTGATGATGAGAACATGAGTACTTCATTTGGATATTCATTTTTATAAAAAGAAGAAACATCTCAACTTATAAGCTCAAAACCGAAAATCCAAAATATCCGAATCGATTAATCCGAAACTGAATTCAAAAAATCCGATCCAATCCGAACTTATTTGGATTGGATTTAGATTGTCATTTCTTCCATCCGAAAACTTAAAATCCAAACTAAAATTTTCATATGCAATCCGAACTGCCCGAACGCCCACCCCTACGCGTGCCTCTACCAAAAAAGAAAAGATAATATATCCCTAATATTTCATAATGCATGGTAGCTAGCAACTAGATTTTTTTTTATGATAAAAAACATGATGATAAAAAAATTCACTAATCAAATACTACCATATGTGAAAGAATGAATACTTAAAATAACACGTTTACTCATTTACCTAGGTTCATCCAACTCTAATACTCTATAGACAACTCAATTACATCACTTTGCGTTAAAACTTAACCCCTTTAATTTTCTCTCTCAATACATAATTTGGTAGAATTCTACTTGTAGCTATCTAACTTTTCATCGACTTTATAATCAGACATACAAGTACTGGACAAAGAGGTGTAGGTCCTTAACGTGTGACATATCGCTCTTTATTTAAAAGTAATCAAAATAATAGCAACAACAAGAAGACCATAATTTTTAAAAGACTTACATATATTATGGAGACAAAGTTAGAAAAAAACTGACGTCATAAATGAATAATTATGCAGAAAATCATCAAATGGTATCACGAATGATTGAAAAATCTTCTCCATTATGATAGACCTAAATAAATAAAAGTATCCATTTCTAACCATTTAAACTTTTAAATCTAACAGATCAAATGATTCAACATATTATCAAAAAATGCAACGGTTTTTGGTTCGTGCCTCTTTCTACCACTCAATTGAAAAAGTACTTCTACATGCATGCTTCATTCAAGAAAATGAATTAGCTAGAATTACCCTACGTTAGGATCATGTTAATAATTACTACAACTTATTCTATACCATCATCTTAATTCATGCTTGTTACGTTAGTTAAACTGAGCTAGAAGTAGGGTTACGGGTTCCGCTGAACCCAGTAGCTTTTGCTCCAACAATTTATATGTGTTAAAAAATTCATCAAAATATGTACAAATATAAAATTTAGAACCCAATTATTAACACGTTAAGTCATCGTTTTAAAACCAGAATCCATAAAGTTAAATTCAGACTCCACCTCTCTCTCTATATTAACATATGTGGAGAGAGAAAAGTCGATTAAGGTCGGTATTAAAATGCATGGCCACTAGCTAAGAGTATATTGGATATTGTATTTGTTTGAAGAACTTATTAAAAGAAGGCAGGTAAATATAATAAAAGATGGCGTGTCTATTTATATCTCTAAAATTAAAATTTCACATTGAATAAGTGAAGCTACGGAAAGAAAAGCGAAGGGACAAAGGGATGAGGGAGCGAAAAGGAGGAAGAATTATCATGAAAATGCATGAGAAAACCACGTGAAATACTGACAATATGCGGTGCTCTTTTACGATTACATTATTTACATTTTTAGGTGGCTCATTATGACGTCGTTCTTCATCCCCTTGACACGTGAGTTGAATCTATTTGGTCAATCCATATTCATATATACTTGCCTATTTAATTTTCTTGTTTTCTATTGTATTAGCAATGTCTAACATGTTATTTACTTTGGTTCATATTCCAGACTTATTTATGTGTAATTTATCTTTTGAAAGATTTGACTTAAATAGAAATGTAATGAGCAACGAATTAAAGTCAATGGACACCCTATTTTCCGGCTAATCCTTTTTATTGATAAACACCGTTCTAACAACTCGCGCCCCTAGGTGCTCTCTATCTACCTATCTGTATCGATTTCGGGTACATATACTCTTTTGACGAAAGTCTGTTTAAGTTTTTTCTGGGAGTATGGCATGAGTTACTTCAGTGCAGTAGCGCCTGGTATTCAGGGGTA